ACTCAGCTAATCTCAACAAGATGGTAACATTATTGGAGATAAAACACAGGCCATCATTGGAGCAAGGTCCTTTTACAAGGCTTAAATATCTCTGGAGAGGAAGATATTTTCAGGTAGAAAACCCAAAGTCCAGTCTTCTATTGCAAACAATCCATTGAAAGGATAACAACACGAACAAAGTTTCAGCTGGAAAGAAGTCTTGCTTAGCTGGAGATACTGGGAACACCACCCTCTGATAATGTATGAAAAACATATCTTGACAAATCTGGATTGCCCCTGGGATTAATTTTGGATGCCCCAAGTTTATTGCTGATAAGCTGCGTGATGCACGACAATTCTTGCGAATAGCTTCACCTCTAAAATGCGCCGAGCTATATGGTTGATGAGGAGAAATCGTCTCAAGAGGATTTTACAAAAGACCTGGCATTCACCATGCTCTGGTGTCTTCAAACTCTTAGAGAGATTCAATAAATCTCGACGTGATTGCCCCGAATTGACTGTAGTTGGCACAACAAAGTCTTCAACTTTTGCCCCAATAAAGGGTAAACAAGTTGGGAAAGCATTAACTGGGAGAAGCAACATGTTCGTGCTTACGGTCTTCAGGTGACATGCCCCTGGATATGATTTTTTTCTTGAAATGATTCGCCAATTACTCAACATAGTTTCAAGCCTTAAAAGAATAAACTCATCACTGGTGCTTATGTGAGCTTCCTTGATATCAAACAAATGTTTTGCAGTTAGAAAAAGTTTACAATGAGAATGAAAATTCTAATGCAACAGTTATGTAAGTCTTGAAGATTTTGAAAGATATCGCACAAATTTTGCGAGCTAAAGCACCATTTATTTTTGTATAGGAAAAACATATGATACCAACATAACTATTTAGAACATTCATGGGAGTCAGGAACACTATCTCATTGAAGTATGCTTTCAAAATAACCTTGCTTCAATTAGGACTTTTGAAGGTTGTAACGTGGTCTGGTTCATGGTTTTTAGAAAAAATATTTTAAGGCTCAAAATATTTGGTGCCCACCCATTCTTTATGATGTTCTCCAACCCTATGTTCAGTTAATTCAACATGAGTGTTCATCTCTCAAAAGGATTTTGTGACGGTCAAGGAAACGACGAGGCTTTCGGAGTAGAAACCGCCCTCATGTCTTCGTGTTTGTAGTCACCAATTTGTTCTTTGTTGAGGACTTTTCTTTGCAGTCCTTTTCTTTGCGATTTTTATTTTCCCTAACTTTTGCCTGAACTAATTCTTTTGAATTGATAGTCCAACGGGATGCCTTAATTTTGCCTAAGTCACACGTTTTCATGTTTTTTGACTTAGCAGGCTTTTTCTTTTTCTCGATTTTTTAACTTTTTGAACAAAATGTGTGACATTAGCTTGCATTTGCTTGTTGAGAAGATTGTGATTGCCTCGTTTCTTGATGAATGAGGGATAACATTGTGATTCCACATCCTCTAGATTCATTATACATGAAGGATAGCCCTCATAGTTTCTCTTCAAAAAACATCTTCCTTATGAATTTTGAACACTCAGTCAGATTAACTAAAAACTACCCTGCCCCAGGTTAAAATTCAAGGTTTTTCGTATAGAAAAGAAACTCCTACTTCAAGGCTCAAAAGAGGTTAGCAAGGGATTATCTTCCTTATATCTCCAGTGTTTAGGGATTTGAAACAATGCCTGTACATCATCAGCAAGATTTTATCCAACGGCATGCAACCAGAGATTTTGTGTTCTTTAGATCATCATCCTCCCTTCAATCTCTGCCTAGGCAAGAGAATGAGCAACAATTTGGTATCATAGTGCAAAAGCAATTTAAAATTTGAAAACAAATATGAGTGAAACGAATGAATTTCTTCAAGACAAACATATTCATTGTATTAAGATAATCATTCAGATGCAAACAAGTTCTTACATGCAAACAATGTTTTGATAAACAAGAAAAATTACAAAAAGCATAAATAAGTTAATAATTTGGGAAGGCTCTCCATCTGGACTTGAATCACCGAAAACATCCTTCAAAACTCAAAGTGACCATCAATCGTGTTTACTCTTCGGCACGTACTTGATTTGAACTTCAAAACCAACGTCCTTGAATGACAATCAGTGAATACTTTTATCATCGCTTCCTCCTTCTTAGAAGGATTGACTTGGGCAGCAACCAAAATTTCAACCAAAACAGTTGAGTGATCCATACCTGCTTTCAAATTAGTCACCTCTCTGCGGAGTTCAGAAATCTCTTGCTTGATATTCTCCATTGTTCTCTTAGCGCGAGTGTTGTACTGGTGAGACCAAAGGAAAAATAAGACTCGGAAAAAGACCTTTGAAAGTGAAATAAAAAATGTAGAATGATACATGATATGCAAAAGAGAGTTTTTATTTGATTTTCAAGGAACTCAAGATATTAAGTTGTAAACATCAAAGTATGAAGATAGAAGATGAATTGTCTCCAAACATTGATCAAGTTATCATCAAGATTAATCATCCATTTTGGTGGATTAGGGTTTTCGCCCTATCAACACCCAAGATCCATTGAGCTTGACGAAACTTGTGATGTTTACAAAGAAAGACCTCCAAATTCCTTCAAAGCCAAGTGAAAAGGGTTTTATGGATGTATGAATGCATGGCTATGCAACAACCACAAGCAAGGTCACAAATAAAGTCGAAAGGTTCAACGTCACGAGCATGAAGTCAAGGGTAAAGAACATCCCCAAGGTATGTACTAACAGTTTAATCACACCTGTAGAACAAGGTTCTAAGAGTTCCCGAAGTCTACATTCCTCCTTCGGATATTACCAACGTCTTGATTACTCAATAATCAGCAATATTCTCAAGAGAAACTCATCCGAGCGTAGCATCGCGTAACAATTACTTCCGGATTACTCCGTTATAATCTCCGCGCTACACCTAAAAGGCCAAGATGGGTTAGGGTTCTACGGTTCCCAGCTTCTATGGCTCCCAGGTCGAAAATAATAATGTCTTCCCGATTACTCGGTAAACAAATATTACGTTCAAAAGGGCCTTCCACTGAGTGGGGGATCTCATGCCTCCTTCTTCGGGATTACTCCCTCAAAGTTAACATGACTATACCGCCCGTCCTATTCCTAAGTGTAACTTAGTCCGGGTATAGGACTTGTCCTTTGTAAATATTATCAACACCCAAATAATCATAATATATACATATAATCAAACAATCAAATAATGATAAAACAGATAAAACAAATTAGGCTTAACCCACTTAGGGATGGACCAGCAAGAGGTCAATCTTTCCCCAGCAGAGTCTCCAATTCTGTAACGGTGAAAATCGGAGATCAAGCTATTAATTAACCTGACTCACCAAAGCAAGAGTCGCCACCGCGCTTTATTATTTCCAAGGGAAAAGGGAAAAGAGCGAAATAAAACCCTAAAACATGCAATGTAAAGTAATATTTAAAAGTAATGAAAATACAATGCGTTTTTTAAAAGAGATTGAGAGTTCGGGGGTTGGTTATGCAATGGGAAGGTATTAGCACCCAATGCATCTGCGGTACTCCGCAGGAACCTTTTGAAATATCCGTTTTTTGGTTAAAATTGTTTGTTTGATAAAAATGGTTCGTTTGGCTAAAAATGGGTATGGACGAGATTTTGAAAATGCGACGACCTAGTGTCGAAGTTTTGACTTAAAATGTGTGAGTTTAAAAATTGAATCTTTTGGGAAAATTATCTTAGGTTTAACAAAATAGTAAACAAACAAAAAATGAAAAGAAGGTATTCGCACGATTGGATGAGATGTATTTGATGACATGAAGTCAACAAATTTAAATATTTTCCTTGGAGTAAGCAAAATAAAATGAACATCAAAATATAAACATTCAGAAGTCACAAGAAAATAAATCTGACAAAAACAAATTAATGATCAAGAGGCACCGAGAAATTGAAATGACAGAAATATACAAATAAAAAGGAATATAACTAATTATCTAAAGAAGTTATTCGAACTAAATTAAAAATTACTTACTAAAATAATTCTAAACTAATTACAAATTCTAAGATTATAAAAAAAAATCTAGTATTATTGAATTTGATCTAAACTAAACTAAAGCTTTAAAATTTAGTAAGTTAAATCTAGATTAAATTAAAATCCTAAGGTTACTAAATTAAATCTAAAACAAATGAAAATTTCAAAGCTACTAAACTAAATCTAAATCAAATAAAATTCTAAAACTACTAAACTAAATTTAAATCAAATAAAAACTCTAAAGTTATTAAACTAAATAAAAATTATAAACTTATTAAACTAATTCTAAATCAAATAAAAATTATAAATTTATTAAACTAATTCTAAATCAAATAAAAATTCTAAAGTCACTAAACTAAAACTAAACAAATAAAATTCTAAAATTAACTTAAATAAAATCAAATAAAATTCTAAAGTTATTAAACTAAAACTAAACAAATAAAATTCTAAAGTTAACTTAAATAAAATCAAATAAAATTCTAAAGTTATTAAACTAAACTAAAACAAATAAAATTCTAAAATTTACTAAGTGAAATAAAATTCTAAAGTTATAAAATAAATCTAAACTAATTAAAGAATTCTAAATTAATATTAAACTAAATTAATTATAAGATTACTAATATATTTTTTTATTTTTTTATAACTAATTAAAAGGAATTTAATTGCATTAACCTAAATATCTAAAAGTATAAAGAAATAGAAAGGGTGTGTATAAGCATGTTATCGGCCCTTTAGGCCCAAACTCAATATAAAGACACTAACCCTAATTTTAAATGCGTGCCATTGATAGTAAACAACAACATAAATTTGAGACCCACCCTGAATACCAGCAGCGGCGCCCCATTGAGGTTTTGGCCTCTTTGACTTTTCCATCTAAACACATCCACCATTAGTATCTTTTTCATTTCCGCTTTCCTTTGTTTCTAGCACGCCTCATCTTCCTCCTCCACTTCATTTTTCTGATGAAAGATGGATGACGGTTGGGCGTGATCTGCGATGGCTGAAGAGGACCGGGAGTTCGGAGATAGGAGGGAGCATACTATCACGATGGCTTTGGAGGGAAGAGGATTTGTGGTTGTTCGTGGAGGACAGTTTGTTGTGAACGGAAGTAAGTAGAAGAAGGTTGTTAGAAAGTGACCGGCAGAGATTGACGATGGTGGATATCATTGTTTGTGAGGCTGGGTAGTTAGCGCACAGTGAAGATGAAGGGTGTTTTCGCAGAGAGAGGAATAAGGGAGGTTGGGTTCATGCATTGATGGTGGTTGACGCGAGTTGCTAGCGGAGGATGGATGTTGAAGGTTACTGATTGTGGGTAAAGGAAAAAACAGATGGTTTAGTACTTATGTTGGTGATAGCCAGTGGATTACAGCAGGTTCAAGTATGAAGATTGAGGTATTGAGATGGTGAGTGAATTGACGAAAGTATGCAGGCGAAGGGGTAGTGAGTCGCGGAAGGTTGGAAGGAGGAATGGTGAGGTCTGTGTAATGGTATGGAGTAGAGGAGGAATTTATGGATTGTTTGTGTTGGTGAAACAACGATGGATGGAAATTGGAGGTGGTGCACGGAAATTGGATGCTAAGATATGAAGATCGAATGGATGGTTGAAGGGTGCCGTAGAGGCTGAGATGCAGGGAGATCCACGGTGAAGGTTGGGGATGATTGCGAACCGGGTTTGTGATGAAGTGAGTTCGAATTTAACAGTGGCAGATGATGGTTCAATGAAGGTTGAAGGATGGAAGTATGAAGAAGAGGAAACAAAAGATTAGGTTGCGATGGATTACTAGGCGAAGGAGAACAGAGGGTGAAGGGAGAGATGGAGTTAGCTTGCGGAATTCGGTGCTGGCAGGTATGTTGGGTGAGTGTTACTGCTTTTTTTTTGTACAGAATCATGTTACAATTTTCCTAATTTTTTCTGTTCTCTTTGTGTGTTTCTACCCTGTGATCTTCTCTCCTTAGAACTACTTTTATAGCTTGAATGAAATGAATTTTTGGGGGGAAAATGGTTGTGAAAGTTGGTTTTGTTATAACTGTTTTATTACCTTTTTTTTTGTGTAGGCTAAAGCTTTCCTTACTTGTGCAAAATTGGGACAGCATAGCAGAACTAGTTTGATTGCTGCAACATAGGTTGGTTTTGGGACAGATCTTACACAGTTTTGGGACTGTAAGGCAGAGTTTGTAGCAGTTGGTTCTGGACAGCAAACAAAAGACAGTTTTGGGGCATTATTTTTGGACTGATGTGCAGGGTTTGGAGCAGCATACTAATTGACAAGTTCACAACAATTTAACAAACTAATGAAAGTAAAGATCCTGTGTTATTTTATTATTCAAAAACCACTCATACGAACTCCATGCATCAAATTCTAATGAGACGAAGAAGCTGATGTTAACCAAAATAGAAGTGTGCAAGATTTTAAATAGTAAACAGCTGAAGGAGTTCGGCTGTCAAGATAATGATTTACAGATTGCAGTGCCCGGAATGTGAATTAAACAAGATTGTATAAACAAAGAAAAGAAACTATTTAATGGCATACTAGTGGTAATTAGTATGTCTTGTTACACAAAATTGCTCTAAAGGAAAAAAATTTCTCTACCTAAAGTGGACACACCAGTACAAACAATGAAATAGATCAGCTAGTCATTACTTAAAACATCAAAACTAATAAAATAATCATCGAAAAGTATAATAATTCAAATTAGAGTGCAAAGAATCCCAATTGATTTTAAAAAAGATGTTAAGCAAGTAATTGACAACAATAAATTCTCATAGCTCAAAAATATGGCATTACAATTCAATAATATCCATTGTATTACTTAAATTAAACAAAAATCAACAAAAACCCTAATGAAATTAAACTCAGGAAAGCAAGAACCTCAGAATCCAAGCTTGGTACGACACCAGTGACGACGCTTAGCGTTATACCTGATGGTGTTGTCAGTCCTCATCCGGATCCAGTAAGGGATGGGCCTGTTCTGCCTCATCTTCTTCGCCAATTTCTTCTTGATCATGAAGGTCTTATGTGACGGCATTTTCGTTTCGCTGAGATGCTCGACTGCTCCATCGAATGATAAGAACCCTAATGTTATTTGACAAATTCGGATATTTTGGCTTTATGGTATTGGTTACTTGAAAGAAAACTTCACAACAATGAATCCAAATCTTAATTCAAATCTCAAATCCAAGTTAGCTTGCAAACCACAAGAATTCAAGGAATTCTCAACCCTGATTCGCGTCTTTACAATACAGACCAATAGCGTAAATCGTGCCTTTAAGAAATTTAATCGACAATCTACCTTAATCCAATGATCGCTACAGTTCAATTGCAAAGTGACTTGAAGTAGTCCATAAGCAATCAAAGAATCATTGGACTAAAACTCCAGTTTCATGAATTATCCCAGCAGAAAAATCAAACGTTCTTGAGAAAACGTCTGTGGCATGACTTGAACTTTAATCTTCGAAGTAATCTCATAAACAACGCTATTTGTGATACTTTGCAAAAGAATCGCCTCAGGACGTTGAAAATTGAAGAAGTTATGACCGTTTGAAATTGAACTTGCAAGAGTTGACTTTTGATCGAAATGCTTTGAATCAACTTGCAAACTTGATCTTTCTTCGCATAGTCAAAACTCGAAAGTGAGACGTTAAAACCGACCGTATTTCGTGACCTTGACTTATCTAAAAATGCAAAAAATAAAGATGGGATCTTAGGTCAAAATTAGGGTACAACAAATACTATGATCACCGCTCTGTGCGAGCAGTTCAGGATTCAACATCACAACTCATCTCCCTATCGGCCAAAGATGAATGGTGCAGTTGAAGCTGCTAACAAAAATATCAAGAAGATCATACAAAAGATGACAGTCACCTACAAGGACTGGCATGAAATGCTACCGTTTTCTCTTCACGGGTACCATACCACGACACGCACATCAACTGGGGAAACACCTTATTCCTTGGTATATGGCATGGAGGCTGTTTTACCTATCGAGGTTCAGATTCCCTCATTGAGAATCATGAAATATGCTGGTTTGAGTGAAGACGATTGGATCCAGACCCGGCTTGATCAGCTAAACTTGATTGATGAGAAGCGACTTACTGCTGTTTGCCACGGTCAGACGTATCAAAAGCGGATGATCAAGGCTTTCAACAAGAAAGTCAGACACCAAACATATCAAGTTGGAGATCTAGTGATCAAGTGCATTATCTTGCCACAAAGTGATCCCAGGGGCAAATGGACTCCTACCTACGAAGGACCATTTGTGATCAAAAACATCTTTTCTGGTGGGGCAATGATCTTAACCACCATGGACGGCGACGACCTGCCGCACCCTGCGAACGCAGATGTTGTACCCAAAAATTTTCCCTCTCATATCTCTCAAAAAAAATATTGCAAGAAAAATCCCCAACTTATTCAAGATAGCCCAAGAGTTGGTCAGACAAGCTCTCTCCTAAGGCAATCTTCCCCAAATTAGGGTTTTGTGTTGCATCAAGATGTTTGAGTCCAAATGACCTCAAATTCTCACCTAGGTCCTAATATGTTCTCAAGATCATCCATGTCAAGTTTAAAGCCTTGCAGAGGAAGTTTGCTCATTCAATTGCTCAAAAGGTCCAAAAATCGATTGTGCTAGGGCAAAAGTCAACTGTGACCCAAATACAGTCAAACTTCAAGATTTTTTGTCAACATTCTCATTTTGAAGGATATTTAATCATTTGATCAATGGTTGATCATGATTCATCAAGGATTACTCAAGATTCATCAAGATTCAAAAGTTGCTAAATTAGGGTTTTGTAGGAAAAGTCAACCAAATTTGACCAAGCATAACTTTCTCATACTTTATGAGAAATGACCCATACAAATCTTGTTTTGAAGAGGATTCAGTTACCTATAATCCATATTCATACCCCAAGATCAAATTATGCACTCACAAGAAGTTATGAATTTTGACATTATAGGTCATTTTTGAAAGTTAACAAAAACACCTTTTTTGTCAAAGCTTATAACTTGAGCATGGAATATCAAAATGAGATGATACTAAAAGGGTTGGTTAGAGGACATCTCAAGCTTTCTAAAAAGTTCAAGAACACTTTCAAAAGTTCAAAATTGAAGAAGTTATACATAGTTGAAGTTGGACTTTTTTGCAAAATTGCCAAAAGTCAACTATCCCCAAAACTTCAAATTTTGCCAAATGGGCCCATTCTTTTTCACTTGTTTTAAGTTTGCATTGTAGCCCACATGCTCCAGCCTTGGCCATGTGTCCATATCATTTTTTTATTAATTCTTTTGATTTTATTTGAATTAATTTTATTTAAATCAAATTAAACAAAATAAAAATCCAAAGGCATTGATAACAAAGATTTTGTGTTGATTTCAGGTTCCATTATACAGCTTTCCATCATCAAATTCGTATCAAATCAATTGTGTGCAAAAAAGATTGAAATGAAGTCAATTTTGGAAAGCTTTGAAAGCAAATCAAATCCACATCAAGAGCATTGATAGAGAAAGATTTGGACAAGGAATTAAGACCTAATATGTTGTGCATTACATAAGGAAGCGAAGCATACAAGAATAAGGGTGGGAGAGCAAGCATAGAGTGAGAACCAAAGTTGCAAAAACCAGAAAAAGTATGAGATCGAAATCAGGCATAGAGGCAATTTCAAGACTTGAGACTTGTCCCAATCTCTTCCTGGCCATCTCCACAAGCGAAACCAATCCAAACTACGCGTTTTTAGACCTCCTAGTGCACTGTAAGTCCCTCACGGATCCGCCCCATTCTTGAATTCGATTTGTATTATTCTTGCATCTATAACAAAAACTAATTTCATATTCTGATTCACCATGACATTTGCTAGCTTTCTGCAATAACCAATTTCATTCTTATGCTTTATATCGTGGATCACCATTGTAGGATTTTCTAGGTTTTTTTAGGGCTTTTTATTACAAGAATAATTGGCTTGCGTGAAGGGTATCATCTTGTTCAAGGAAACAAGACGAGCTCAACCATGGTGCTACCTTTCATTTATATGGCCTGGGGAAGGATTTAGAGTGAAGCTACGCTTTTAGCTGCGGATAAAAATCCGCAGGTAAAAGTTGCAGGTTTTGGAGGAAGAGGATGATGCGTTGTCACCCTTCTGTTGGTCTGTTTGAATTCCGCGCCAAAATTCCACTAATGCACTTGTTTTATTATATTATTGTTATGTTGTATTTTGTTAACAAATAGAGCAGCATAGCCCAGCGGTCACCACGTTAGCGTTAAGGCATTCAGAGGCTGGAGGTCAGGGGTTTGATCCCTGCCTCCAGCATTTGTTATTTTTCCGATTTCTTTCAGGAGATCATGTGCGCGCCTAGGCCAGGAGTTCCACCATGCACATCCCTCCTTCATACGCCAGATGGCCAGATGGCCAGATCTTGTGGTCAATCTTTGAAGGCACATCATAAGCAAGTCAATGCATGTGTATTGGATCACAAAAGTCAAAACGGACCAGCATTATTGGGCCAACAGAATTGCTTCCCGCACCTCCAAAAAAGACCCATTTCTCTACTTTCTTATATTCTATTTATTTGATTTAATTATTTTATTTTACTTAATTAATTTATTAACCAATAACAAATTTTCTTTCTTTTATCAAAAAATCACCAAAATACTTTTTAATTCAGAATTTTATTTTCTTTAATAAATTTTAACTAATTAATTAGGTTTTTAATTCTAGAATAACTTTAAATTATTTTTGTAAATAAATAAAATCAATTAGAAATCATTAGGATTTAACTCTAATTTTATTATTTTAATTTCTTTCTTAAAATAATAAAAACTCCAAAAATATGTCATTAATTATTATTTTTCATTAATTTATTTATTTAATAATTAATTTAGTATTTAATTTAGGATTTAATTTCTTTTCTTCAAATAAAAACAACAAAAACATTTTCTTTTAAAAAAGGTCAAAACCCTAATTTTGCATCCGATTTAATTTCGCGTCGCGCTTTATTTTTCTCTATCCAATATTGTATCTGCTCCCGGATTGTAATAGTTTTAAATAGGACATTTTAATTATTTTACCGCTTTATTTTATTTTCAAAGGGTTGCTTTTGGCGATGTAAATACCCGACGCCTTGTAATTTAATTTCCGTATTTTAATTCTGTAAATTATACAATTGTTAGATGTTTGATAATAGGGCTTGCATGACAAGAATGAATGCCTAATCTAAAATCAATTTAGATCACCCTAAACATGTGCAAAGATAAAAATAACTGAAAACAACACACTCGCACATGCGCACTCCTAGGGTACACCCCACTTGGTTTCCTTCGTAAACGGTCATTGAGTATAGGGTATTTTAGAGGTCGCCCTCTTGTCTAAAAGATCATAGTTGCCTCGAAAAGGTTGCCTCGGATATCATTGCCTCGAATAAATGATCTAAGACATTAGGGTTACCGCTAAGGTGTCCTAACATTGCTTTGGTGACCGTATGTCCCTCTTTCGAATTGACCCCCAAACTCCAACGACGGCGCTACCCACTCACTAATAGTGGGATAGCATTGTCTAAAGGACATTAGCATAGAACGATTCCTTTTTCGAGTAGGTAGATAGTTCTTAGATACTTGCTCATCCAAAAAACAAACTTCTTTTCACACTTACACTCCTTTTCAAACAAAGTTTTCAAAAACACTTCATTACACTCTTAAGCGAGAGTCAAATCGAAGTTGAAACAAAAACTTTTCAAAAACCCGCAAGCACAAAGAAAACAATTTTGAAAATGATGAGCAAGTACCTAAGATCCCGTAGATAACTACGGATAGAAAGGGAGCTAATACCTTCCCTTTCTATAATCTACCCCCTGTACCTAGAAAATCTCCAAAAAAGGAATTTTTCTGTGCTTTTTTCCTTTCCTTGTTGGATAAAATAAAAGTTGGTGGCGACTCTTGCTTACCGCGACATTTTGCAAACACAAACGCAAAACGCAAACCAGCATTCCAAAAACAGTGAGTTCTTCCCACCGTATCACGGCAGACATAGTCAAAAG